CAGACTTGATTCATGAGCCAAAAACGTCTATAAGTACATGTGTTTTTTTTGGATTATTCCCTTGCTTTCATATGTGCCTCTCCAAATAATTTTGGAAGAAAGAACACAGATAATAGTCAATTTAGTGTCATCACAGCTTGTGTTGCTCATTCATCCAATAGTGTCAAGTGGCATCATTGTTTTCTTTTGGAACCATTGCTGGTTATAGTCCTGACAGTTAGATATACCAGCAATTTTCGATCTTTTGGCAATGACTGAAGCTTTTCATCGATTATGGCTAGAAGGGCCATACTGGGCAGGTCTTGGACAAGTCTTCAACAAACCCATGAGGGCATCCTTGAGGTCGTCAGGGAGCATTTTGCAGTGTTTGATCTAGCCATCCAAATTCGTAAATAATAATAATCCTTGCATACAATATAATACTATATGTCGCTGAGACTTCTCAAAGCACTTCACAGAATTTATTGTTGATGTCGTGTAAATATAGTTATCTTTCAGTACAATTCCATGTTTCTCACTCAAACTGTTTGAATTTGTTTTTAAATTATTCGTATTTACTAGGGGAAAAAATTGCACTTTTCTGAATGAGTCCAGCATGACTTGAGATTCACTACCTGTTCCTTGTCCTTTTTTTTGATTTCCCCGACTCACTAGTGAGCTAGAAACCTTCCTTTTTCCAAACAGAATACTTAAAATAAAACATTGGGTCGATCTGTTTAGAATATATTTTACCTGGAAAAATCTGCGTAGTCGGAAGCAGCGACGACTTTATAATTGAGGTGACCACTTCCTTGCCACAGATAGCTACCGTTCCACTGAAGGCAGCCAAAGATATTCACCTTGTGCTTTCTGGGAGAGATTTAGCTATAACAACTCTGCTTGCAACGGGAAGGGATGTTAGTTGGATGTAATTACAGCCATGTTTTAAAAAAAAGTCAGTTAATATCTTACTGTTATGCACAGCCATTTTTGGAGTGTGAATGCTTTATATAATTTTGTGTTTGATATAACACCATTCACGACAGCAGAAAGTTCTTAAAGTGCTTCATGGGCTATGCTGTAAAGCAGAGGGACAATTTTGAAGAAGAGTGGAAAAAAGCAGATAATAATGATGATAAAGCAGGTAATAATAATAATAGGAAGCTAGATGAAGGAGAAGGGAATAGAAGGGTATGGGAGGGAGAAAGGGGTGTGTGGACATTCATGTGGAGTATATGATTTGGATAACTCTTTTCGAAGAGCCTGCACAGACACAATGAGCCGATTGGCCTCCTTCTGTGCTGTATAACTCTATGATAAACACTGGCATGGTAGTTGGACAGAATGGTCTGTTTCAAATGCTGTACAATCTGTGTAAATCTATGTAGCGGTTCCTGTTTTTTGTTCTCACCACCAATATTCTCTTTCTGGCGATATCTTAGTTTAATCCTTTCATTGAGCTATGCACTGTTTAGAATTGACGCCACTTAGAACATGTGTCTATAGAGATATTGCTGGCTCTATATGGGAGCATCCTTTAAACCGGATACGGTTTTAAAATAATCAAATTAGCTCCATGATTCAGTCTGGATTATTTGGTTCCACTCTCGTCTCCAAGTCAGAAAATGATGTGTGTGTTCAAGCCACATATCAGAACTTTGAACTCACAGTCTAGACTGACACTCCAATGCAATGCTTGTGGGTGGGTGGAGGGTGGTTGGTTGCATTGTGCAATGTTGGAGGTGCTGTTGCTTGGATGAGAGGTTAAACTGGTCTGGTCTACCTTCATTTAGGTGGACATTAAAGATTGCATGACACCATTCAAAAAGAAAAGGGAATTTCTTCCAGTCATTTCTCCTGACCCACAATCCCCCAAATAAAATCGGCAATTCATTTCAAGGCTTTTTGTGGAGCAAATTAGCTGCTGTTTTTACCTAAAATACACAAGCTTTACATTTCACAGGAAAATCATGCAAAGGACTTTGAGACATCTCAAAGGCATGATAAGGCATATATCAAATACAAAGATTATTATTACAACTACATGGTTAGCCCCCAGATGCTTGTGAATGTCAGTCTTGTAGTAAAGAAACTAGAATTCCTAATGTGTGCAAAATTCTTCTTCTCCCTTTAAACATATTCAAGCTTTCAGTAATCCTGCAGTACTACATTTTTTGAAGCATCAACTCAAATGACTTAATATTTTAATATCATAAGCAGTCTATTTTGATGTGAGTTTACCCATAAAACATAGTTCATCAAAAAGGAACCAATTCCATTTTTTATTGTCATGTAATAAAATTGTTTCAGTGATACAGAAATATATCTCAATACAGAAATATATCTCAATATATCTCAATTACAGCCAGAAAAGTCTAGATATTTTCTACCTCAAACCTGCCCAGCCCTTGATGTGAAATGCTTTGAGATGTCCTCCTGGACATGAAAGGCACCATATAAATGTAAATGATACTGTATTGTAAATACCCATTGTAATTAATTTTCCATTAGGTTCGCTAAATAACCTTTTTGTAGTTACTGATACAAATGCTTTTAATGTCTAGATGAATTAGTAATGAATGACAGGCTTAAAACAAACAAGTGAGAGGACTTGTTATTCTGTTTTGAATAGAGCATTACTAGTACAACTGTAATATGACTGAAGCAACAGTACCAGTTTTCAGCTGTGAAGTTTCAGCCACCTAAACTGAATTGTGACTGGATTCTCAATAAAGAGTCCTCATTCTGTCTGTTTCCTGCTATCAATCAAAAGACTTTTAATACAAGCAAAGAAAACAATCGTTTTTCACTGATTGGTGGCACCTAAAGGGTTCAGGTTTTCTGAGTTTGATTTACAGTGGGAAAATATGGGCAACATTTGTGTATAGCTTGCTTTGCTTGGCCACTGGATTTAAAGTAAACAGAGCAGAAAGGGCCATTCTTTTACATTCGTTCTCCTCCACATACCAAAGGTAATGATCTGAAGCCAACAAAGTCCACAGAGGATGTTTTTCAGCTACTTATCCCTTTGAGAGACATACTATGTCATTCCTTTTTGGATCCTCTCCACCTTCCAGCCTGTGTAGTAGTCCTCTGCCATCTACCTCCTGTTCTTTTTCTCTCATTGCCTGCATCGTCCCCATGATTTGGGGAAAGATTCCATCTGTAGCCAATGCATTTGTATTCAGCCTGTGGGCATGAGAGTTAATGAGCTCTCGTTGAAGCTTTGCTTGTTGCTAATACAAATATTTGTAAAAATGTTAATTTTCCACAAGTTCAAGCTTTAGTATTTGTGTGAGTTACAGAACGGTATTTCCTATCATTGACGGTTGCCCAAGTACACCACAACTTCGCAGAATGTAAATTGGTCAAACATGCCGACACAGGTTTAAGAAAAACAATTTCTAAAACGGGATAATGAAATCCCAAATGCCGAAAACATTGATTGCTGCTGATGTTTTTAGAGTGACTATTCTCTCACTCATAAGTCAGGCCATTGATTTAGTTTCTCTTCCTGCCAACTTTTTCAAAAGGGAAAAATCAGACACTCTAGGAGAATAAACCCTTGCTCTATCAGTTACCTTTTCCACATGGGAAGAATTATTTTATCCTGGAGAATGAACCTCATCAGAGTTGAGGCATTGTTACTGATCATTTTCTTCTTGAAAACTCTTCTTGGGTAAACAAGCAGAACATTTCTCAAATCTTTTTGTGAGCCCTTTGAAGGTAGAATTATCAATGCTGAGGGGAAAGAGCAGTTCAAGTGGTGCCTGTTTCAACTTTCACCCAATTCGATTTAGTGAGATTTATCTGTGGATGCCATTGACTACTTCATGCTTGAAGTTTGGGTGTTAAACGTATTAAAGTTTTGCGTCGAGTAAGTGTTGAACTCTCAATTTTATACCAGCACAAGAAATATGGGTTAAAGAACCTCACACAGGACTGATTGTTATTGCTGATTGTGTCCCATAGGACAGCCTTATTCTGCTAATGGAATGAAAGGTTAATGGTCTGCCATACATATCAAAACTTTTTTTTACAATTGAGACTTCATTGGCAGTGTTCAGTTGGGACCAACACCTGAAGCCTCAAATAACTGGTTCAATTAATGGTTTAATTAATGATGCAGTTAAAGTGCTTCCAAAATAATTAGTCTGGTGGTTTCCTATATGCCGGCAACAAAGCCAAGACCACCTATATCTTTTACCGCAGCAAGGTTCACAATTAGCTCTTGCATGCATAATGAAAGATAGCATTAACTTAATCGGCCAGCAACTTTGGGACTAAAAGTGACATTGAACAACTTTGGCACTAAAATAATCAAATTCCTACCAGTTTAACATTCCTGAGAATGGTTCAGAATGAGGGGAAGGTGTGTTCCACGATTTTCTGGTAGGAATTTCTCAGTTGTACTTACATTTCAGGAAAGGTATAAATAATGGTTTAATGATGGCACCTGTACTTTTTGTAAAGGATATTATTTGTTCACATAGACTGACTCTAGTGTATGGATGCTTGAGATGCCTGGATGTGTGGGTTAAGTCTTCAGAGTAAAAAATACTTTACATTAGTTCAACTATAAAACAATATACAAAATTCATATCTTGGAGAAATGCATTGCAGAACAAATAATACCGTTCTTTCTGCTCTGTTATGTCATATGTTGTAAATTCAAGAATATTTGCCACTATTGTGTCTGTAAAGCCTCATGACCATTAATTCAAGTATGACAACAACTTGCATTTGTATAGCATCCTTCATGTGGGTTGTGTCATGGGGCGCTTAATAGTGACATGATTTGATGCCGAGCCAGAAAGGAGGTAGGGCGGAAGGATGTGACCGTCGAAGAAGAAAGTCTTCAGATTTGGTTTGAAGATGTGCAGAGACGGGGCTAAGAGGAAGGGATGGAGGTTAAGGAATTCAGAACCGCCAGTGAGAAGGCATTGATGAGAGCCAAGGAGGATGGAGAACAAAATTCTAGAAAACAGTAAAATCATGAACTCTTCATAATTTCTCACCAGATGGGCATCACATATGGGAGACTGAAGCAAAGACTGACAAGGAGCTGTTTAAGCCTGTAAGTATGCCTGATGTATTGTAAATAATTAAATTATTCAGTCCAGAATCGTAGAATATTGAAAAAGCCATTATCATTGATTATTATAGAAGAGATGTTTTGTTTTTACTTTGAAACTAATTATGAACAAATGGTTGGAGGGCTACTGCTAAATTTATAGACTGGCGAACTATAAATATGGATCAGAAACTAAATTAACGGTTTTAGCTGAATTGTGAAGCTTCCGAAGCAGCTAATTATTTCTAGATAGGAAAATTACAAAGCTGCAAAAAACTAAAATTATATAGCACGTTATCGAAGGGTGCTATAATGGGGTTCCCCTATATTCCCCTTTGCTTCAACAATTTCAAATGCATAAAGCAGTTAATGATGCTTTCAGCGACCTGATGACCTGAAAGTTGCCCTTTTGTGTAAGGGTGAATAACTAAAATGGCCAACCAATGGCTCGTCAGGTCACCACTGATATCACTTCCTGCTTTGCACGTGTACAGTGATGTCAGTGGTCACTTAATAACTTGGAAGTTGGAGATTTTAGCACGAAAACTGGACTGATGCATGGGAAATGAGCAGGCCTTCCGTGTGCATGACCGGTGAATGAGGCCCACAATGCAACCACATCATAACCAAATTCACGCTATAAAGTGGGTTATTAATGGAGCCACACAGTGTAGTCTTCTTTTAGAAAGTATTTACAGAAAATGTAACCTACCAGATGTTTCATATCTGTATCAGAGGTCTTTCATTATTAAAGAGTTAATATTCTGCATATTAAGTATGAAACTTGTGAGTCCATCATCATCAGTTTCCTAATATTTTCCTGTGGCCAAAATCAGTAAGGATGTTCCCTTTCAATCTCATGACCTTTTTTGAATCATGAGTAGTCATCATCACATGGCACTCGTTATTTTGGGCACCAGTGAATATATACTACATGTCTGTGATGTCTTGTAATTGAAGCTGAGCTGTAGCCTTGCTTACAATATGATGGGCAGAGGTAGTAACATGATTTACCTCCAGAATCTACCTCTTCGTTGTTTCACCGTTTGCTAACTTTGTGCTGATCTTGTTTGATTGTATCAGCATTAGGCAAATTTCAAATATCTATTTGCTGCATATTTATACCTTGTAGAAGAATATGAAATGGCAAACATGTACTGCCACTGGAATCTACAGCACAATAGATAAACAAAAGGTTGCATTCGATTTCAATATTTAGATGTTGTTACTTACTGGTACTTGCTAATATTTGCCAATAAGAAACCTAAGTGTGCTGTCTCCAATTTATTTGTTTAAGGATGTGAGAAAATTCAGCAAACTGCAGCATAAATTGCTCTAATATACCAGTTGCATCATATCTATGTGATCGTGCATGTTTTTCTTTTGCAGAATTCACTGTTGGTTGAAATTCCACCCTACCGCAACCAACGCATTGCAAGCCCTGTTCAGGTTTATTTCTACATCTGCAATGGGAAGCGAAAGAGGAGCCAGAGCCAGCGCTTTACCTACCTACCCGCTAATGGTAACCACTTACATTAAGATTCTAAATCATTTTGTTCAAAGTCAACACCGCCTGCAATCAATCTGGATGGCAGGTTTCACCATTTGTTAGAAGTAAATAATTCAACTGGAAACTAATTGATGCTGACTGTTGATGCAAATTAAGAAAATAAAGACAATATTCATCAGTTATTAAATAAAACCTAGGCCTAATAATAATCCTTGCATTTGATAAAGCGCTTTTCACGTCGGGAGGACGTCCCAAAGCACTTCACAGAACACACTGTAAAGTGAATTGACTGTATATTTGTGGGCGAACGCGGCAGCCAATTGCGCACAGCAATGTCCCACAAACAGTCGTAGATTGAAAATGACCAATTTGTTATTGTTTTTGGTTTTGGAGGGATTATTATTAGGCGTGTGGAGTAAGGAAACTTGCCCTGGGTTACATGCAAAATGTTTATAAATAAATGAGTAAATAAATATCTAATTGTTGAAAAGAAAAATTGCTAACTCGTTCCGTTCGTCAGTATCAGAAATTTGATAATAGAACTATTTGAACAGAGAAAAGAGTTTTTCATCTGGAGTCCAATCCAACAATCCCCCAAATAAAAGTGATCATCTATGGGACATTGGAGTGCAAAGTTTGGCTTTTGCTTACAAAAATACAATTACCCTACTTTATTGTAAATCCTGTGAAACGCTTTGAGATAGTGCCATTCATGTCCTCCCGACGTGTATGGCACTATGTCAAAAGCAAGGAATATGATTATTAGAGTTTGCAAGAACGTATATAAGAACTCTTAAGAGTGGAGAGTGGAGTAGAGGGAGAGGGGAATTGAAGGATATGGGAAAGATTAAGGACTGGTGCACACAAGTGGAGTATAAATACTAGCCTGGACTGGTTGAGCCGAGGGGCCGGATTTCCTGCTGTATATGCTTTGCAAATCTTTGTAAGACTGAAGTCATCAGCAGTAACATAATCAGTCGAAAGCCACTGAATTAACTGTAACTTAAACGTGAAAAACAAACGTATTAGTATAGAAAACATGCTCAAAAAGTTAGATTTGCCATTATGAAACATGGAGATGGGAATTACGTATACTTCATAATCATAAAATGTCCCATCAATTTGTTAGCATCGCTCACAATCTATGAGGGACATTTTTAGGTATTAGAGAGTTTTAGGTCCTTTGTCCATAAACAATTCATTCAAGATGTTTGAACTATACAAGAGCCCGATATCTGCACTAACTGGGACTGGTCCCATTATAATATGACCCTAACCCAAATGAAAACAATACAGATATCAGGTCTTCCCATGAAATATCTCATCTCTAACTCTCTCTCTGACTCTGTGTGTGTGTGTGTGTGTGTGTGTGTGTATGTTTAAGTTACTCTTTTTCTCTTGATTCTTTTTTCTTTCTGACTCAGCCCCTCTATGTGGCTCTCACTAACCCTGATTTCTTCCCACAAGTTACTAAAAATGTGTATCACCTCGGGGTGCTGATTTAAACTTGCTCATTAAACTTGGGGAAATCTTTACTGCTACTTACAATGCCCATAGTTAATAATTTATCTTGGTATTTCATCGTGACTTTACCTTCAGGTTCTCAGCCTCTGTGAAGTTCAGTGGACATATGGTACAGATATTCGAAACTCCACTTTACTCAGTGGGGAAAATAAAATAAATTATTTTAGTTATTTTTGAGAACAGTTTATTATGATTATGTATTAAACAATGTAAATTATACAAATTAGATTCTCCACTTGTCAGTGAATCTATCAATCTACCGTTTGATCTGATGATCAATATTTCCTTTGTAAACCCACATTTGCCAAGATAATACATTTATTAACCACGACAGAATTACACTTTTAAGTCACTTGATAGATTAATTTGAAACTATTATCACGTCTTTAATGATAGACTTGCAGTACCCATACTCTTCTGATACTGGCAGAAGAAGAGCTCTGTCATAATCTAAAACTGATAGATTTTAGTGGGAAACTATTGCTGGAAACGATTCAACTTTGAAGTACTGTTGCAACAACAGCAGTGGTACTGATTTGCATTTCTGCTGATACTACAAACAAAATAAAGAAGGCAGTTGCCAAATCAACTGAGGCTCCAAATTTCTCATGTTCTTGGCTGTAAGATTGTTTGTTGTCTTAAATGTAAGATATCACATCATTGTTAAAAATAAACCGGTTTCCAAATGAATGCTGAATTTCAGAATGTTCCACACTCATAAAATGTAAACACCAAACCCTGGAGATCTTTGGGCACAGGGTTCCTAGCTTTGTGTTCAGGATTTGCGGTGTTCTGGATGCACCTGGATTACTGAGTACAATTCTGCCCAGAAACATGTGGCATTAGAAGCAGTTCAGAGCAGAGCAACTAGGATGATCCATCCCTTAGTGTAAAAGGGATAAGCCACGAAGAATGCCTAGATAATCTAGGATTCTTCAGTCTTGAAAAGAAACATTTCAGAGGGGATCTTTTATGGGTATGTAATATGCTAAATGGGGTTTAGAAAGCGAAGCAAAATATATTTCAAATATGCCAATTCATCAGGACAGGAGGGCACAGGTTCAAGGGTATTCAAACAGAGACCAAGAAGTACAATATTTCTTTGCAGAATGGGTGATTTAAGAAAGAAAAACCTTGATTTTTTTACAGCCCCTCTAATGTTTATATGTATTAAAGCAATTTGTGGTGATTGCTGCCATGTGATTATTAGCCAGGTTTATTATTTTGGGAGTGACCAAATGCTAGATTTGACTGAAAATAGGAGAATTGTAGGTTGGGTATTCTGGAAGGAGATCATATAGGCCCTAAGGATCTTCTTTATATATACCTCTGTTGGGCTTTATGAAGGTGTTGTCTTCATTACAGGTAGATTCAGCTCTTGTAGTTTCCTATTGATAGGACTGGGAGCGCTCTAGGTTGCTCCCTGCATGAAGGGCGCTATGTAAATACTATTTTTTGTATTTGTTGTTGACCTAGACTCTGCCATAGAACTTTGCAGTAGTTATTACTCCAGTACCAAAATTTCTGTCTCGAAAAGTGAAACCGTCCACCTAAACACCTTGGAAAAGATACAGTCTCAGAGTGAAAAAAAACTCTGAGTTTGAGTTTCCATTGGGTCAGGACTGGAAAAAATGTTTTGAAAGTTACTCACTGCTTGGCCGATAGATTTATTTTAATGTATTTTTAAGCTTGTCAATTAACTTTTCATCCACTGCACACTGTTACTTGGCTACAGCGGGAGTCATTTCATCCTTAAAAAGAGGAATAAACTACATCTTTGGGATATACAGTATGAGGAACTACTGTCAGGGAGGGGATTGGGAAGAGACACAACAGAGCTCCAACTATGTAATGTATAGGAATGATGAAGGATTGTAGGTGAAGAGATTAACCTGTTTGGCTGTTTGTCATCTTGGCAGATACAAGTGGGTTTTCCATTTGTGGTCCCAGCAGCAAGTTTGCTCTCTCTGTCTTCCATAATTGAATTTTGTAATCCAGCCAGTAAGTTTCAAACTTCAATATGTCCATTTCCCTTGAGAGTACTGCGTGGATTTTTGCAACTGTTTTTTTTTGTAACTGCTATGAATCCAGTACATTGACAGCCTCCCCAAATCATTGACCGTGGACGTTTTTTTAATCAACATACAAATATATTTTTCTGGCTTAGTCAACTTCCCAATGGAACTGACAGCTGGAGTCCAATCTCATAAGGATAAGGAGAGGGAGCACAGAAATCCGAATAATGGCTCAGCCTTGAGCTGGACCTGTCGTCATTGCCAGTAGCCTGATCACTAGTACAGGAAAGTTGGATGATCGTTCAGTAGTTCTGCTGATCCGCCCCCTTCTTCTCGACCACTGATGCTGGGGAAAGATGGAAAAGCAGATAATTGACAGTAGCTCTATTTTTACTACTGCCAGCAAGTTGAAGGGTTGCAGACCACTGACAGCCTTCAGCTCACCACAGCTGGAAAGTAGCTCACCTCGAAGTGGAATTTGGCAGGCCTTCTTTTTAGTATTTTTAGATATTATATAGAGGATGGTGAATTCCTCTGAAATCCAAAAGGAACCTGATAGTCTGTGACAACCATTTGAATTTTGATTGCCGGGCAGATATTCTAAGCAAAGCGTTGCTTCTTTGTCATTATAGCTGATGAGACAGAATAATGACAAAAGACTTTTTTTTAAAAAATCCACATTTCAAAAGGTAATGGATGAGTGGCTCAGGTTTACAAGGGACAATTCACTCTTGTGGTTCAGATTTTTTCATTTGGTTAGCCAGGTCTCTGGTACATCACCATGCTTAAGAGTATCCAAATCAAACTGAGTGTTCCACACATGTATGCAACCTACACCTTGAAATTCAACTGTGTCTGAATGGAATACACACTCTCTCCCTGGAATGACACACCCTGCATACCTAGTTCCAGAGAGTATTAGATGCAGTTTGGCAAGAGCCAAAGCTTGGGGACCCCAGAGGGCGTGTCGGGGTTTTCAGATGTTTAAACAACAAAAACTTGCATAGAATTACATAGAATGATACAACAAACTATTAACAGAAAACAGACTATTTGGTCTAGCTAAACTGTGCCAGTGTTTATTCACATAAGCCTCCACTCCTCCTAATTCCCACATCCTGTGCCCCTCAATTCCCTTCTCCTTTATGTATACATCAAGTTTCTTCTTAAATACATTTATGATTTTTGCTTCAAACACAGCTTCCAGCAGTGGGTTCCACATTCTCACCAGACTCTCCTTGAAGAAGTTCCTTCTAAACTTCCTTTTGGATCTGTATTAGTTATCTCTTATTTATGCTCCTTTGTTTTGGACTCATCAATAGGTGGAAATAACCTATTAACAGCTTAACTTTAACAAATCCACCTTAACGAATCCTTTCATAATGTTAAAAACCTCTACAAGGTCCCCTCTCCATTGTCTCATCTCCAGAGGGAATAACAACATAATTACATTTGAATAGCCCCTTTCACATT